GAAAACCATGTACGCTGACGTAAGCGATAAATCAGATCTCTTATATGATTAATGACAGTAGCGTGGCTTATAAATGTTTGTGACGACAACGACGAAGATGAGTTAATAAAAGAAATTTTGTTACAAAATAATGCAATAAATATAAATCGTTAACTACCACTTCATTAGTCAGATAGATAACAACAACCACTCAATGATTTCAAGTAGCTGGGAGGAAAATTCAAGTTTCCCATTGCTGCTGAACTATTAATCAGAAAGTCTAACTTGTGCTACCTAGTAACAAAGATACCAACTTTATCGAGTAGTCTAGTGACTGAATGCTTGTTTTCTATTGGTTGGATGTCGTATGATATTGAAAACTGTCTGGTGGATCTATTTTACTTTATCTCGTTAATATATATTTGTCAGTTTCCATTCATTAATGGATGGATAAATGATTTTAAATAAAAATAACATTTGTTAAATGAGATTTTGTTCGCTGATTTTAAATTAAATTAATTTAATTCAAATAAAAGATCCCTAATTAAATTTATTTTTGTCATTTAAGATAGAAAATAATTTTTTTTTATGGATGAGCCTTGAACAAACAAAACAACGAGATAGAAAATATCGAAATGCAGAAATGTCAAAAAATCCGACTTTCCAACCAGCGTCAGATACTACAAGAGCTGGAACACTTCGCCGCAGTCACCAATCAAAGCGCACGTTCCCCCGGCGACCAAAGCATCGAATTACCTCAAATGGTCGAAACCGGTGCAGGAATCAGCCATTATGCCGGTGATGTCATCGTTCCTGATCATGGCGTCATCGTTCCTAATCATGACGTCATCAACAGCGAAAGTGACAAGTCGCAAATAATGAACCGATTCATGAAGGACTGCAAGGAGGTGAGGTTTAAACGCAACGACAGCAGCGATAGTGGCGAATCCAGCTTCAACAGTAACGCTAATAATCATAATAATGATCATGATCATAATAATTCAAATGAACTTCGTGAAGATTTCGGCACACATGGTGGTCCTGATGGTGACAGAGGGGTCCCTAGAATTGTTGTGTCGGGGGTTGACAACCGCGCATTTGAATGCGATGACTCGTCGTCAGAAATATCAGCGGACAGATTCAGTCGCTGCAGCTTTGACGCAGCTAGCGCCGTAGATGACGACGACGGCGAAGAGCAGAACTTGATAAAGCCCTATGAAGAGGAAAGCTTGTGAGTGTTTGTCAGTTAGAAGCTTGGCATGATGACATTTTAGTTGTGTGATTGGCCAAAATGGTATACATGTTCACACACACGCACATATATATATGAAAGGGTTTGAGGTTTTGAAGGATGCCAATTTCATCGGTAATTGCACGGTAAAGGAAAAAATGTGTCTTATTCTATACGAAAACATTCCTTGTTTATGTCATAAGAAGGATTGAAAGCGTAAAAACAAGATGACGGTCCGGTTGGTGCATACGTACCTAGCGGAGGTTCTCAAGCGAACAATCGCCCGTCGTTAATTCATTTTATAGCTATAGAAACCCATGAATGTACATGCTCTTACATATGTATATGTTTCAATAAATCCGTTTTGTGTGTGTATGCATGTAATTATTTATTTATTTAATAATGAATGTTCATTTTATTAAAAATAAAACTTTTAAAAAAAATTTACAAATTAAATAACAATGAACTAACATTAAAGCTAAAACCATTAAGTGTTATAATATAATATTATACCTAGTAAAAAATGATTGCTATAATTAATAAAATAAACAATGAAAAATATTCAGCGACAAAAGAATCAAAAGATGGGACGTCTTCCTTAAATATCCGCCCATCAGAGACTCAGATGCCAAAGAACTTCAATTCGCTTTTATACGAAAGATCCTCAAACTCATCACCTACATGGTTATGTTCCCATCAATGCTGGCTCTACTCATACTGAGCAAAGGTTCATTTCTGATTGCTCTATCTAATGTTAGGCCTGACAGCAGCAAAACCAAGGAGTTGATTTGCCAGAATTTTAACAAAAGTCATCGATTTACGTACAACCAATCGTCTCGTAGCTACTACGATATTGTCACTACCTTCACGAGGTTACGTTTTACTGTTAAGTACTGTAACAGTACATGTCACTGTTATTGATGTTATTATTATTATTATTATTATAAAATAATATAATGCTATTTTTCAACTGCCCCTCAAAATGTATTATTTTAAATCATCTAAGATATTTTTCAGCAGCAATATAGTTGAATTGTAACAGTCGTTGTTCAAACCACCGAAACCTAACAGATGCACCCAAATAACAAAAGGTACCTCTATGAGTGTGGCTAACGAAAGTTATGGAATGAACTGCTTGAGACCAAAAGACTTAGACGAATTTACGGACGGAAACAGATATGAGACAGACTATTGCGTCATAGTTAGAAATTACTGGGCCTGGTGCCTTTTTCTTATGGTGACAACTCCCTACATGTTCACCTTTTTAAAGTAATCAATAATTCGCAACTTTATTTGAACCCATTTATTTAAAATTTGTTTAATATTTGTATAAAAGTTAGTATCAATCATTAAAATTCAATACGTTATATATTTTATTATATCTTTTTATGATGAATATCATTTTATCGTATTTGTCAATTGCTTCAACTACCAGATGTGCATGGCGGATTTGCTTCAAGAGCAAGAACGCTCCGAAGATCTCAATTGTCGTCTGGGTCCTGGCCTTTGAAACCCTGCAGTCCATCGGCCTCTGTTCTTTGGTCTTCCTTGTTCTTCCAGCTTTGAACAACTCCGTTCAAACGATCATGTTCATTTTCGGAGTTGCATTTTTTCCTGCTGGTTTGAAAATATTTTTCAGACCAGAACGTCAGAAGAGGAAATGTTTAAAAACAATCATTGATGTGATCGCAATGTTAACACAATTATCCATTTTAATCGTCGTACCGGTTATGTTATCTATAATGGATGGGAAAAATTTTGATAAAAATTTAATATGGGCAATACCTCTTTCACTACTTCTCACTTCACTGAGATGGCGAGAGAACTACGCCGACCATCTGCACTACATGCCACGCAAGATTAAACATTTTTTGAAGAAAGTCATTTACAACTCGGCCAGGGCAAGAACTAAAGTGCAACTCGTTACGAGTTTGTGGAAGATAATTGTAACATTTCTGATGGCAATTGCCTGCTTTGGGTGGCAGTACGGATACATGGATCCACTGAGCAGTTCCAACACCATAGAACATTCCTTCAGTTCTATCTTTAACTTTAGCTTTGGATAAGTTTTTTAGTATCTTGTTATAATTTTTATAAACGTATTAATGCAAAAAATAAATTAATAACATGATAACTGTTATGCTTTGATTTCCTTAAGCATATTTAAAGAACAAAATGAAATAATTTTTTTATAATTCTTTTATATACCAGGTGCAAGAAAGGGCAAAAGGAATCTATATCTCCGTTTGAAGTTCCAACGTTGGAAATGGACTGGGTCTGGGTCTGGCTCGTCCACACACTCGCCTCACTAGTTTCTTACTTCTTCGCCAGAACATCTGCCAAAATTTTAGTTCAACGGGTCTGCTATGCCCTACCGATTGCAATCAGTCCCTACTTGCTCTCCGGATTAGTGATAGGAGGATGCGAACTGCACAACAGAAATCCGTGCGTGTTCTCAAATGAAACGGCCATACCGGATTATTTATTCTACGAATGTTACGATCACGGAAGCATCGGTAATGTGTGGTTTAAAGAGATGTGGTACCTTATACCGATCTTCTGGGCTTCTCAACTCTGGATCGGCTGGCACATTTGGTTCCCAAAATGCAAAAAATTGACTACAGCTGATAAGTTAGTAAATGACCGATGGATAAAATTTTTAAATGGTTCACAAATGTTTAAAAAGAAAGTTTATTAAAATTTATAGTTTCGAAATGTGATGCTGATGTTAATTATAATTATTTTGTATAATAATGGACGGATTGCACAAAAGTTTATCAGCAAGCGTCGTATATCTTTATTTCGGCCTTACAAAAAGTAGTCAAAAAATGTTCATCAGTGTAGAAACAGGTGTGGCTTGAACAGTTGGCAGGACCATATTACCTTAATCGTCGTTATATTTCCTATATACACACACAGACAGACATATGCAGCAAACAAGCTTACACACACATACGTACACGCACACGCGTTCGTACACACAAATACACAGATTGTTTGTACAACCTTTGTACGATGGTGTGTTGATGGACCAATCGTTGCTCTATAATCGAAGGAGGAGAGATGAAACTCGAAATAAGGTGGTGATGATGTTGATGGTGATATGATGACGTTGTTGATAAAAAAAATGATGGTCATAAAAAAAATGATGTTTGAAATGAAGTCCCAAAAGTAAATAACATCACATCAATAGTTTAAGAAAAAAAAAATTTCTTACCAAAATGTTTAATCTTGTCCTGTCCCAAAATAAATTTGATGATTTGCTTTAGAGAAAAAGTTATATTATGCATGGATCATTTATTGGAAATTAATTATTAATTACAATAAATTAATGATAAATATTAGATTACTATCTAAAATTATAATTATTAATGTAAATAAATAAAAATAATAAAATGTGTAAAACAATATGTAGAGAGTCCCATTACCACGGGATCCAACAACCGCACACCATGTGGAGGCAGCAGCAGCTGTCGACGACGGCCAAGACACAGACCTGGACCAACTTCAGTTACTAAATATGATGAAAGATAAAATACCCTTCGTGTACCTCTGTGCAACCATGTGGCATGAGGGCCGGTCTGAAATGTTTTGCATGCTCAAGTCTATTTTCAAGTTAGTTGGTTGGTTGGTAAGTTTGTTGGTTGATTGGTTCGTTCGTTGGTGTGTCGGTCGGTTGGTCATTTAATAATTGTTTGTTCGAGTGACCGATTGTTTGATTGATTGATCGGTTTGTTGATTGTTAGCGGCATAATTTTATATAATATTTTTGTGTTTCCATTAAAAAGTGCTTTTATAGCGATTAACTATAATATAAATTGTTGCATTGCTACCACAATGTTTTTGACCTTCCAACTAATCTCTACAGATTGGATATTGATCAGTGCGCGCGAAAAAATGCTCAGACGTTTTTCAAATTCAAAGACCCTGATTATTACGATTTTGAAGGTTACTATTTAAATATATAGATACAATTTTTAAAATAATTTTATAACAAATTTGAAATTCTGTGCCGAGAAATAAATAAATACATGTTAAGGAAATTGATAAATCAACAAACCAAACAAGTGAATAGATAAATATCTATAAATTTTTCAAAAACTACAATTGAACTAAATGTTCAATGTTTATAAACTAACCCTAGCACTGTCATTCACACAAAGGCCGATTTTTAAATGTGATTTTTCCTTAAAGTTTAGCCTATTCTTTTTAAACGCTTAATCTCAGTTTGAAACTTCAATTTGATTTAAGTAGGGCAAAACTTTTCAATACTGTTAATGCAATCTAATCTATTGCGATAAGATAGAACTAGAACCAACTAGCTGTCCTAGCTCTAAGATTGAATTCGATTGAACTGTGAAACATGTTCAACCCTTGTTTACAAACATCACAAACTTATTCCACACCACTATATAAATGTCTTATTTTACTTTTATTTGACCTTCTCAAACCATCCAAACAGGTCACATATTTTTCGACGATGCTTTTATTTTTTTCAAAAATAATTCGGCCGTGTACGAGATAAACAGTTACGTGCGTGATTTCATCGACACCATTCAAGATGCCGCCACGTTAGTTAGCTACTTGTGAAGTTAATCAATCGCCAACCAGCATGGTTCGCAACATCAAAACAAGCAATCAAACTTTCGTTTTATTGAAACTTCGTTTATTATTTTGATACAGTGCTGCTCACGGAATCACCCCAAACCTTCAGGAGCCAATCATTTACCAGACGCCCTACGGTGGCAGGCTGGAGTACATTCTGCCAGGCGAGAATAAACTCATTGTTCATTTGAAAGATAGCGCTAAAATAAGACACAGGAAAAGGTGGAGTCAGGTAGGTTGATTGATTGGTTGATCGATTGGCTTATTAGTTGGCCGCTAATTATATTACGTTAGTTGGTCGTTTGTTTGATTGCTAATTATGTTGATATTTTTGTTGTGTTGTTTGTGCTGTGGGTTTTTATTTTGTGTGTTGAACTTACTCATCTAGCTTAATTTTCAATTAAAGTTATAGTCTATCACCTCAATTTTTTAAACAATTATTATTAGCAGACTTATTCGTCACGCAGGTGATGTATATGTATTATTTTTTGGGGAACAACTTGGAAATGAAGAACTATGAACCATGGCGGAAGGAGGTTTTTATTGTTTATCTAATTAAGTTTATATTCTTATATTAAATTATCTTTTTTTACAATATGGGTAAATTATTTTTCTATCATCATTATATCGGCTTATTATTGGATCATTTAATTTATAAACGGTTAAATTCCTCACTGACACAAAGATAAGAAAAGAGAACACCTTCCTGCTGGCACTCGATGGGGACATTGATTTCGAACCGACTGCACTGTTGCTCCTCATCGATCTTATGAAGAGGGACGAGATGGTGGGGGCGGCTTGCGGCAGGATTCATCCCACCGGAACAGGTAGGCTGTCATAGTTTTTCTTTTTATTTCAAATATTTGTTCATATTATATATATTAATTAGCTTCTTGCAAGTATCCTATTATTTCCATTACTATTGAAAATTGGAATACCTACTATCTAGAAATACATAAAAAATTATTTGTTGCTCAGGACCGATGGTTTGGTACCAGCAGTTTGAGTACGCTCTAGGTTAGTGATGTCATATATGTTTGCTATATGGTAGTCGAATTTTTCTTTACTTTTTGCAAATAATCGGATAACATAATCAATTTTTTTATGCTCGCTCAGATTTATACATTATATCTAATAAACATGGACCCTGCATTCTAGAACAGTATTTTGAAAGTAGTTATTGTAATAGTGTGTTAACAGTTGAACAAAAATTTTAATTATTTATTTAGTTTATTATATTTATTATAGCTATTTAATTGAAAAAATTAATTCTAGAAAATTTCATACCTGAAAAATGTTAAAAACAAAAGAGCCGAAAACATTTTTGTAGTCAAATTTGAAAAAAACGTTCTCGAATTCAAAGAAGTATACTCGCAATCGATATAAAGTCGAAATTTTAAAGAATCTTAACAAGTCGATTATTTTTTTTTATTACGGATCTGTCAGTACCGACCACTTTTTGGTACTGAATGAGCACAACTCGTTTCGTAACTACTCCATCTGCCTAGGTCACTGGATGCAGAAAGCAGCAGAACACGTGTTTGGTTGTGTCCTCTGCTCGCCTGGCTGCTTCAGTCTTTTCAGGGGCAGTGCTCTCATGAGTGCAAATGTCATGGCCATGTACACGACCATGTCTACGGAGCCACTGCATTACATCCAGTACGATCAAGGTGGGGTCTGCGTGTGTCTTCAACGTTGTCATATTTGATATTTTTGTTTCTTCATTAATTACGTTTGGTAAGATTATTTCTATCGTTTCACCCGTTTCATATTATGGACATAAGATCAACAATAAACGTCAACTAAAATTCATCTGATGAACATTGCAAGGCGAGGACAGATGGCTGTGCACACTGTTGCTCCAGCAGGGTTACCGCGTTGAATACTGCGCTGCCTCTGACTCGTACACGCATGCGCCCGAAGGTTCTCTATTTTAATGTTATCTCACTGAATTATATATACAAATTATAAAAGTATATATGTGTGTTAAGATAGCATTTCCGAAATTCTAGTTTGTTGTTCACGTGAAAGTTCTTTACTTAGAATTTGCATTTCAGTTAATTTAATGTTGACTGATTTCATCTGATCAGTTTGGGTTGCTTAAAATTTTCATAGTTATTCCGACAACAGATTTTCAAAATTTTGAATAACTTATATTTAATCTTAAACAAACACAACTACACAACTAATGAGGTAAAAATATTGTAAATAATCTTTGCAATGCAATTCGCAAGATTTTCCTACGTAGGTACATATGCTCTAAGATTGCCAACTCTTGTTTGCTCCTCAAGGTCTTCACGAATTTTTCAAGCAAAGAAGACGTTGGATGGTTTCGACAATGGCAAACATCCTTGATCTCCTGGTGTCCTGGAAATTGACGACTAAGAAGAATGAAAATATTTCCTCTTTGTACATTTTTTATCAGATGATGCTATTCGGCGTTTCGATTGTTGGCCCCGGGACCATATTCCTCCTGATTTCCGGTACATGCTTCTCAACGAACTTCCTATTGATTATATTTGTCTTTATTATCGCAATTTTATGTTAAAAAAGCAATTTTCAATTAGAAAAAATATTGCCATATAATTTTTTCTTGTTTCGTTGGATGGTGGTAACTAATAATGTTTGCACAAGGGGCCGTGAATGTTGCGCTGAACAATCAACTTACGATATTTTGGTCATCTGTGATCAATATTGTGCCAATCTGCTTGTTCATCTTGCTTTGTTACATTGGTTCGTCGGAAGTCCAGGTTTGTCTGTCTGTCTGTTTGTCTGCTTGGTGGTCTGTCTGTTGTTTGTTAAATTTTTATTGTTTTTTTGTTTGATTTTATGATGAACACCGTCAATCTTATTATATCGTTTCAATTTTTCATATATCTTGTCAGTAATTATTACTATTGTTATTATTAACATCGTTATAATTGTTATTGTTTTCATTTATTTTTTACGTAACAGTATTTTATGTATTTTTAATTCTGTGTTTAGTTATTTCTGAATGATTCGTACTAGCCTAATTTAATTATAAAGACAAATTAACGTTTGCGACCAAACCACACCATATCAGTTATACTTCGCAACCTTGCTGGCCGGCTTCTACTGCGCCATTCAGATGCTGGTTCTAGTGGGTCTCAGTGTGCAGATGGCCTCCAATCCAATCATTTTCCCTACAACAATTTTTTTCATTTTCGTGACTTCCATTTTTATATTAGCTGCAGTTTTGCACCCTCAAGAGTTTTTTTGCTTGTTTCATGGTTTCACGTACTACCTGGCCATACCGACCATGTACCTGCTGCTGAATTTGTATGCCATCATCAATATGAACGTCGTCACCTGGGGCACCAGAGATGATCAGCCGACGCAAATTGAGAAAGAATTGAAAGATATTCACATTCAGCAGGAGCAGCAGCAGCAGCAACAACAACAACAGAAGGTGTTTTGATGTGCATTGTGAAATCTCATCTGATTTGTGTTTTTATTTGTTTCATCTTAATTGAATTATTTCTCTCTATTTCATGTCCCTAGTTATAAAAATTTTTAACGAATTTTTTAGATTAAAAGCAAATATTTATGTTATTTAGAATAATTAAATGCATGTGAATTGCCATCAGAATATAAAATGAAGATTTTTACGATTTTTCAGAAGCCAGAAGAGAAACCGGACAGTATACTGTCGAACGACATGCAGAGTTTGCTGTCAGCTTTGAGATTGGATGGCATCAAGAAAGAAGGTGACGACGACGAAGAAGATGGTTTTCATTTGAACTGTGGTTGTTTCAAAGTGGCTTGCTGCGTGACGAAAGGTAAGAACGACTGCAATAAACGCCACCAACAAGAGAACACTGAAAAAATTCTGGCAGAAATTAAAAATGTGGAAAACCGATTGTCTGACGTTATAGAGTCAAAATTCAAATCGATCACTGCACCGTCAGAAAGTAGTTTGAATTCATTGGACAAACCTCTGAGTACTAATGCGAGTTCATATTTCAGGACCAGCCATCGTTTCGATATGAACTCTGCAGACGTTGTTGACGTGATAGGTGTCACAGCTGAAACAGATTCGCATATCAAAAGTGATGCTACCTTCCCAAACAACAGCAGCAGGAAAGATGCTGGCACTGACTACACTACCAACACTAACAACACCGACAACAACAAAGACGACACCAACTGCAACAACAATGTTGT